CTATAAATTACTTTGGGCAGTATGGCCATTTTCATAATATTGATTCTTCCTAACCATGAGCATGGAATGTTTCTCCATCTGTTTGTGTTCTCCCTTATTTCCTTGAGCAGTGGTTTGTAGTTCTCCTTGAGAAGGTTCTTTACAACCTTTGTTAGTTGTATTCCTATATATTTTATTCTCTTTGTAGCAATTGTGAATGGCAGTTCGCTCATGATTTGGCTCTCTTTAAGTCTGTTATTGGTGTCTAGAAATGCTTGTGTTTTTTGCACACTGATTTTGTATCCTGAGACTGCTGAAGTTTCTTATTAGTTTAAGGAGATTTTGGACTGAGAGGATAGGGTCTTCTAAATACACAATCATGTCATCTGCAAATAGAGACATTTTGACTTCCTCCTTTCCTAATTGAATACCCTTTATTTTTTATTTTCTTGCCTAATTGCTCTGGCTAGAACTTACAATACTATACTGAATAGGAGTGGTGAGAGAGGACATCCTTGTCTAGTGCCAGATTTCAAAAAGAATGCTTCTAGTTTTTGCCCATTCAGTATAATATTGGCTGTACGTCTGTCATAAATAGCTTTTATTATTTTGAGATATGTTCCTTTGATACCTAGTTGATTGAGAGTTTTAGCATAAAGGGCTGTTGAATTTTGTCAAAGGGATTCTCTGCATCTATTGATACAATCATGTGGTTTTTGCCTTTGGTTCTGTTTATGTGGTAGATTACGTTTATAGGCTTACATATGTTGAACCAGCCTTGCCTCCCCAGGATGAAGCCTACTTGATCGTGATGGATAAGCTTCTTGATGTGCTGTTGCAATCATTTTGCCAGTATTTTATTGAAGATTTTTGCATTGTTGTTCATCATGGATATTGGCTTGAAGTTTTCTTTTTTTGTTGAGTCTCATGGGTTTTGGTATCAGGATGATGTTGGTCTCATAGAACGATTTGGGAAGGATTCCCTCTTTTTGTGTTGTTTGGAATAGTTTCAGAAGGAATAGTACCAGCTCCTCTTTGTACGTCTGGTAGAATTCAGCTGTGAACCCATCTGGACCTGGGCTTTTTTTGGTTGGTAGGCTATTGATTGTTGACTCAAATTCAGCCCTTGTTATCGGTCTGTTCAAGGTTTCAACTTCTCCCTGGTTTAGGCTTGGGAGAGTGCAAGTGTCCAGGAATTTATCCATTTTTTCCAGGTTTACTGGTTTATGTGCATACAGTTGTTTGTAGTAATCTCTGATGGTAGTTTGTATTTCTTTGGAATTAGTGGTAATATCTCCTTTTTCATTTTTTGTTGCATCTATTTGATTCTTCTCCCTTTTCTTTTTTTATTAATCTGGTTAGCATTCTGTCTATTTTGTTGACCTTTTCAAAAAACCAGCTCTAGGATTTATTGATTTTTTGAAGGGTTATTTGTGTCTCTATCTCCTTCAGTTCTGCTCTGATGTTAGTTATTTCTTGTCTTCTGCTAGCTTTTGAGATTTTCGATGTTGCTCCTCTAGCTCTTTCAATTTTGACAGTAGGATGTTGATTTTAGATATTTCCTTGCTTCTCTGGTGGACATTTTATTGTTATAAATTTCCCTCCAAACACTGCTTTGAATGTGTCCCAGAGATTCTGGTATGTTGTGTCTTCATTCTCCTTGGTTTCAAAGAACATCTTTATTTCTGCCTTCATTTCATTGTTTAGCCAGTCGACATTCAGGAGCAGGTTATTCAGTTTCCATGAAGTTGTGCAGTTCTGAGTTAGTTTCTGAATTCTGAGTTCTAATTTGATTGCCCTGTGGTCTGAGAGACTGTTTCTTATGATTTCCGTTCTTTTGCATTTTCTGAGGAGTGATTTACTTCCAATTATGTGCTCAGTTTTAGAGTAGGTGCAATGTGGTGCTGAGAAGAAGGTATATTCTGTTGATTTGGGGTGGAGATTTCTGTAGATGTCTATTAGGTCCGCTTGGTCCAGATCTGAGTTCAAGTCTTGGATATCCTTGTTAATTTTCTGTCTTGTTGATCTGTCTAATATTGACAGTGGAGTGTTAAAGTCTCCCACTATTACTGTGTGGGAATCTAAGTCTCTTTGTAGATCATTAAGAACTTGCTTTATGTACCTAGGTGCTCCAGTATTGGGTGTGTATATATTTAGGATCATTAGCTCTTCTTGATGCATTGATCCTTTTACCATTATGTAATGTCCTTCTTTGTGTCTTTTGATCTTTGTTGGTTTAAAGTCCATTTTATCAGAGACTAGGATTGCAACTCCTGCTTTTTTTTTTCCTCTCCATTTGCTTGATAAATCTTCCTCCATCCCTTTATTTTGAGCCTTTGTGAATCCTTGCACATGAGATGGGTTTCCTGAATACAGCACAATGATGGGTCTTGATTTTTTATCTAATTTGCCAGTCTGTGTCTTTTGATTGGGGCATTTAGTCCATTTACATTTAGGGTTAATATTGTTATGTGTGAATTTGATCCTGCCATTTTGATGCTAGCTGATGTTTTGCCCATTAGTTGATGCATTTTCTTCATTGTGTCAATGGTCTTTACCATTTGGTCCATTTTTGGCGTGGCTGATACTGGTTGTTCCTTTCCTTGTTTAGTGCTTCTTTCAGAATCTCTTGTAAGGCAGGCCTGGTGGTGATGAAATCTCTCAGCAATTACTTGTCTGTAAAGGATTTTATTTCTCCTTCACTTATGAAGCTTAGTTTGGCTGGATATGAAATTCTAGGTTGAAAGTTCTTTACTTTAAGGATGTTGAATATTGGCCCCCACTCTCTTCTGGCTTGTAGGGTTTCTGCTGAGAGATTTGCTGTGAGTCTAATGGGCTTCCCTTTGTGGGTAACCTGATCTTTCTCTCTGGCTGCCCTTAACATTTTTTCCTTCATTTCAACCCTGATGATTATGTGCCTTGGGGTTGCTCTCCTTGAGGAATATCTTTGTGGTGTTTTCTCTGTATTTCCTGGACTTGAATGGCAGCCTGCCTTGTTAGGTTGTGGAAGTTCTCCTGTATAATATCCTGAAGCGTGTTTTCCATGTTGGATTCATTCTCTCCATCACATTCAGGTATACCTATCAAACATAGATTAGGTCTTTTCACATAATTTCATATTTCTTGGAGTCTTTGTTCATTTCTCTTCACTCTTTTTTCTCTATTCTTGCCTTCTCATTTTATTTCATTGAGTTGATCTTCAATCTCTGATATCCTTTCTTCTGCTTGGTTGATTCGGCTACTGAAACTTGTGTATACTTCATGAAGTTCTCGTGCTGTGTTTTTCAGCTCCATCAAGTCATTTATATTCTTCTCTAAACTGTTTATTCTAGTTAGCATCTCATCTAACCTTTTTTCTAGATCTTAGTTTCTTTGTATTGGCTTAGCATATGTTCTTTTAGCTCTGAGAAGTTTGTTATTACCCACCTTCTGAAGCCTGCTTCTGTCAATTCATCAGATTCATTCTTCATCCATCTTTGATCCCTAGCTGGTGAGGAGTTGTGATCCTTTGGAGGAGGAGAGGTATTCTGGTTTTTGGTGTTTTCATACTTTTTGTACTGGTTTCTTCCCATCTTCATGGCTTCATCTACCTGTGGTCTTTGTAGTTGGTTATTTTTGGATGGGATCTCTGAGTGGATGTCCTTTTTGTTGATGTTGAAGCTATTTCTTTCTGTTCATTAGTTTTCCTTCTAACAGTCAGGTCCCTCTGCTGCAAGACTGCTGGAGGTCCACTCCAGACCCTGCTTGCCTGGGGATCACCCACGGAGGCTGCAGAACAGTAAGGGTTGCTACCAGTTTCTTCATCTGTTATCTTCACCCCAGAAGCATACCCATCAGATGTCAGCCTGAGTTCTCCTTTATGAAGTGTCTCTTTGGGTATATGGTGGTCAGGGAGCTGCTTGAGGAGATAGTCTGTCCCTTATAGGAGCTCAAGTGCTGTGCTCTGTCTCCCATGCATTCCAGGCGCCAGTTGAAATGGCTGCCCAGATTTGTGTGAGTTTCTGTGCAACAACCCACAGCACCAGCCATGCTGAAAACTCGTGCTTTTCGGTCCAGAAATCTCCTGGTCTGTGGGCAGTGAAAATTTGCTTGGAAATGCGTTGAGCACTCACCCTCCGCATTGTTCTTGCTGGGAACTGCACTCTGAAACTGTTCCTATTCAGCCATCTTGGATCCTCTACTCTGTCCTTTCTTTTATAATTAAAGTTTTTTTCATATTAATATATTCTCTTACTACTATTTTATTGGTTACCCTAAAAGTTACTACATGTATCCTTGACGTTTTATACCCTAAAATAAATTAATACATTTATAACTTTCCCACTAAAACTTTAAAACATTTAATTCAATTTGCAACCTCTTTTGGAAAGCCAATTTTCAATATCTCATAAAATAGAAAATGTGCACAATAGCAATTTTCCTTCAATGTCTAAACTTAGATCAACTCTTACAAATGTACACAAAGAGATATCAACAAGCCTATTCATTACTGCATTAGATGAGTGAAAAAGTGGGAGTCAACAACATATCCATTAATTGGATGATAAATGAACAATGGTATATTCATAAAATAGAATCATAAAATAAAATAGCAAACTAAAATGCATTAAATAGATATAGATAAACATAAATCTAAAGAACACAATTTTTGATGAAAAAGCAAGTGGTAGAAGAGTATGTATAAAATGATACATAAATTTTAGAAATAGATGTGTATAGACAAGCACATAAGCAGTAAAGTCGTACAAACATGCATGGGAATGATTTACTCTGACTTCAGAAGAGTGATTACCTGTGAAAAAGAATGAAGAGAAATAGGATAAAGGAGAAGTACAGAAGTTTTTACAAGCATTTATATGTTAAAAATATTGACACAATGATGTCAAAGTGCTCATATTTGTAAAATTTGCATAAATCATATCTAGGTATATAATTCCTTATATTATTTCAAGTATATCATAAGTACATACAATAAGACTGTGCAAAATTTTTGAAATGGTACAATATAAAAGTAAATCTACCTGCAAGTGCAGTTGCCATAGTGGGTGTTAATATAAACTGATTTTCTAAATATTTAGGCAAAAATTCAGAAGCTCCCATCATAACCAAAGATTCTGACGCTTTCGATAGAGCTAGGCATATAAGCACTGGATTCTTCATCAGAATCTGAAATAAAAATTTTATATATCAATTATTTTATTAGATAAAGAGGAATAGATAGAATCAAATGCTAATGATCTGTCTATAAAAATTACCATTCCCAGTCTAAACTGAAAAGATGATTGATAGATTGATAGATAGATACATAGATATATAGATAAATGATATGTAGAGATCCAAACAGCAATATATTATGCAACAATATACAAATTCTATAAAAGACAAATAGGTTTGACAATTGCAATTTTGATTTGCTCTTCATACCACTTATAATTTTTATTTATGAGCTTGGAAGTTTGTTGGACAGATTAGAGAAAAATTGATGTCACTAACCAGATATCTAGAGTTTCTCTTTACTTTGGCTTGCCTACTTATTTATTTTATTTATTTTTTTTTTAGACGGAGTTTCACTCTTGTTACCCAGGCTGGAGTGCAATAGTGTGGTCTCGGCTCACCGCAACCTCCGCCTCCTTGGTTCAGGCAATTCTCCTGCCCCAGCCTCCTGAGTCACTGGGATTACAGGCACGCACCACCATGCCCAGCTAATTTTTTGTATTTTTAGTAGAGACGGGGTTTCACCATGTTGACCAGGATGGTCTCGATCTCTTGACCTCGTGATCCACCTGCCTCGGCCTCCCACAGTGCTGGGATTACAGGCTTGAGCCACCACGCCCAGCCGCCTACTTTTTTTTTAAGCAAGTGTTTCTTATTCAACTAAATCACAAAACAAATAAAATTTAAGCAATATTCAAGAAAAAAGAGGACTGCAGAAAATATTTATATTTTACTCCTCAAAGCCCATCCATATAAAGAATGAAGTTATTTAAATTTTGCATTTTAGCAAACTTGTCAAACTTATTTAGAAGGCTTATTAAGATGTGATGGTTTATCATTATCTATTATACTATACAGAGTAATTAACAACATAGTAAAATATTAAACTTTCAAATTAGTTACTGTATTTCCTTGGTTATCCATATCTCACTGAAAATATATTTAGTGCTATTTTATGTTTGCATATTTTTAATTACTTTAAATTTTTTTTCTGGCCCTAAACTTCCCCTGTTAGGTGTAATCATATTCTGCAAATTTCAACTAGTTCAGCTTTGAGTGCTATCTAATTTTACGAAGTGTGATTCTGCCATATTTATTCATTCCCATAGGATTTAATACTTGTCTTGCCTTAAAATGCCTACTATCACAAACTAGGCTGCATTAAATATCCCTGTGTATGTACCTTAAGGTCCAATGATAAGAGTGTCTCTAAGAAGTACATATCCTAGAAAGAAATTCCTAGGGGATAGGGATTTAGCATACTTTATTCCACTATTTCTCTAGATTGTTCTTCAGAATGTATCAGGTTACTCTACAATGACTACACCAGCACAATGATGGCAGTGCTCCATTTTCTTCATTTAGCTTGTACTTTCTAAAATTTATCAAAGAAATATTTCTGGTTTAGCACGCCCATGCAGAACTATGTCATTTTCCCATAAAAATTCATTAAACTTGGAAAGGCCTTCTAACTGTCTCAATGAAACAAATAATGCTATGACTTCTGAGGATGGATCGCAAAATGAAAATATGGCTTCTGCTGGGATTTTTCACACTCTGAGAACTCTTGCCTTGGGACTCAGTTACCATGTTGTAAAAAAGACCAGGACAGATGCAAAGGATATGTGTGGTATTCTAGCAAACAGTATCAAAAACAAACATTTGAGCAAACAAGCCTTCAGATGGTTCCATTCTCCAGACTTTGATCACTCTAGCTCAAGGATCCCCCAGCCTCTGTAGAAACAACAGGAGCTCAGTTCATGGCCTGTTAGGAACCAAGCCATCCAGCTGGAGGTGAGTAGCAGGTAAGGGATCCAAACTGTGCTTTGCCTCCTGTTAGATCAGCAGCAGCATTAAATTCTCAAAGGAGCACAAACCCTATTGTGAATTGCACAAATGAGGGATCTAGGTTGCACAATCCCTGTGAGAATTTAGCACCTCTTGATCTGTCACTGTCTCCCATCACCCCCAGATGGGATAGTCTAGTTGCAGGAAAACAAGCTCAGGGCTCCCACTGATTCTACGTTATGGTGAGTATGTAATAATAATAGAAATAAAGTGCACAATAAATGCCATGAGCTTGAATCATCTTAAAACCAGTGCCCCCACCTGGGAATATATTTCTTCCATGAAACTGACCCCTAGTGCCAAAAACGTTGATTACCACTACTCTAGTTGACCCCAAGTATAGTTGAGAGGAATAAGCCCTGTCCAAACTGCATTTTCATGAGCAAAATATATTTTATATTGTTTTAAGTCATAAGTTATGGGATAGTTTATTATGTAGCAGTAGATAACTACAATACCTCACATAATCACACACACTTGATATTATTAGCTGGCTTTCAAAATGTTGCCATGGTGACCAGTATAAAGTAGTACCACAATGCTTTATTTCCTATTTCTCTAATTTCCAATCTAACTGAGGCTTTCTTTCCATCATTCTTAGCTATTTGGGATTCTTTTTGAGTGCATGAACTGGCTCGTTCTATCTTTACTAGGTTTCCTGAAATTTGGGGGTAGATTTTCTAAAAATTCATTGTTTATTCTAAATATTAATCACTTGGATTTAGATATCTGAAACCCATCTATTAATGGGGTCTACAGTTTCTTTCATAGAACACAAATCCTTGACTTGATACATCTAATCCATAAAGTTTGAATTCACATTTAATACTATTGCAATCTTGTTTAACATTTTCCCACCTCTATGTCACAAAGCTATTTATTTCATTTTTAACATTAACTGTGTTGTTTTATCTAATCACATTTTATTAACCTGGAAATCACCTTTGTACATAATATGAGGTAGAAATCCATCATCATTTTTTCACAAAAAGCCAAATTGGCTATCACATCTACTGAACTTTACAGTGCCTCTTTTATCACATAGCAAGTTCCCATGTACAATATTTAGTCTGTTGCTGAATTCTCAGTTATGTTACATTGATCTATTAATCTATATCATGGAAGTGCTACACTGTTTTTATTACTGTGGTTTCTGTAGTGAGTCTTAATATGAAATAGGTCCGGTGCTCTTTGTTTTAGCTATCCATGCCCTTATTCTGCCATACAAATTTTTTAATCGGTTTGTCATTGACTAAAAAATAAAATATTTGCCACAATATTGATTATATTGCATTGGATTCATAGATTGTTTAAGAAAACTCACCTAGATGAAGATTGTCATTTCAAACATTAACATGGCATATCTTTCAATCTATCCCAGTCATCTTTAATAATGTTGCATAAAATTTTAATTTTTTCATGAAGTTTTATAGCATCTGTTTAATAAATTTCTGAATTACAGTTTGATGATTATACTTTCTTTTTACTTTATTATCTAATTTTAAATATAGATGATTATGTTTATTCTACAGTTTTTTTATTTTACTTTAATTTTCTATTTATTTAATGTAGTACATTCAAATATTGATCAATTAGAGAATTACAGCTTTATTCATAGGTTTTTCTAGTCCACAAATGTTATATATTCTTTTATTTTAAAATAATTATTGAGAACTGAATAGTAAGCACACTTAACCATAATAAGAGTTTATATTTTATGATTTTATATGAAAATATCAGTCTGCATGATTTTGGAGCATAAATAAGCAAATCACAGTTTCTCTGTATCTCATTTTTGGGAAGTATTACATTACAGTAGGCAGATTTCTGGATTTAGAGTCAAATACAACATGCATTCTTATGCTCTTATCCTCAAGCCACTGGGGTGTGTGTGTGTGTGTGTGTGTGTAACATATATTTTTGTTTTTGGGAAAAAATACTCATCTATTGGCACATAGCAAGTGTCCAGTAAAAATACACATTAATTTCTTAATTTATAAAATTAAATGATTGCACTTGATTATGAAAATTGTTGTCTGCAAATTTTAGCGTGCCTTGAATTATCTGCATGGTATAAAACACAGATCGCAGCTCCCACTCAGATTTCTGAATCTGGAGTCTGGAGTGGTGCCTGAGAATTTGCATATCTAATAAATTCACACATGATGCTGCTGTTGCTGGTCTGGAAATCACACAGAATCACTGCACTAGATAATTTTCATGTTTAAGCTCTTTCAGATTTAAAAGGAACATACATTCTTAATTCCACTGATGCAATTTATCATAAGGTTACACATGAAAGTAAGAAAACTAATACACTTTCTCAATAGCTAAACAATTCAGCATGCATAAAGTACATCATTCACAGTAAGTCTTAAGTGCTTCAAAGGCCCAGATATTTAACTTACTTCTTCTCATTGTATATTCATCTAGGTCTATTTTAGCTAATGACTATTTTTTTCACACTTACTTCTCCTTCTTAATAGCCTTTATACTTTTATTTTTGCTATGTCAGTTTATCAAAGTTGTGGTGTTTTGAGTTTCCCACTCTTCCTATTATTTATGCTTTCCTCCCAAAAAGGAATTGACTAGATTAGTCACTCTTCAACAAGGTGTTCTTACTGGACATTTTTCTCAAATTAGGACATTTCCCAGGTTTAGGGGAAATCTAAAAATTGCTTCCTTGAGCTAAAGTGCTGATGCCAAATACTATAATAGTTTTGGCTAAAACATTTGGACTACATTATACAGAGCATGGTAACCAATACACAAGGAAATATTTCTGGCCACTGTATTTTGAAAGGTACTGTGAGAATAGCAAATATTAAGAATATCATAGATTCCTTTCCAATAAAATGCCCAGGTTTTCCTGCATTTTAAAAGGTCTATATCTTTTCTTAACTATAAATATGGGAGACAAAAGTGAAAGCCAGAGAGATATACAAATAAATATACAAAGAGTTTTATGCAGTAAACTCAGGCTCAATTCTGACAGATGCTGATATACAAAGAGAGAAGTCAAAATAGTGCTATTCAGTAGCAGATAGTTCTTTTCTACCATTCATATCTCACAGTACTGTGGCTATTAGGTAGCCCTTGTTAAT